ATCGCGACATAGATTTTCTAGGACTATGCAGAGACCTGATTAATTTTGGGATAAATAATTTTACCTATTAATTACCTAATTTGCATAATTAGTTATTATTTTGCTGTTCTATGGCTGTTGCACTGATGTCTAAAAACCACTCATTGGATTTCAATGAAACTTTTAAAGAGTACTCATCACATTTCAATGAACCTAGGACTATACCCCATATTAGTTTTTGGTAAATATTTATGCTTCATAATTAACATAATTAATTAATACTGATATCTCAAGTATTGATCATCACATTTGAATAAAACTTACATAAATGCTCAAGGACAATAGACAGCCTGATTAATTTTGGGTTAAAATCTGTTCATATTAATTCTCTAATTATCATAATAATTAATATTTTCTTGGTTCTAATCACATTTCAATGAAACTTGGTACATTGTGCAGACCTTATTAGTTTTACACTTAAATCTGTTCATAATAGTTACCTTATTTGCATAATTAGTTTTCTACGTTTCCTTCAACATCTCAAGTTCAAGTAATTTGAATTAATTTTTAATGTGTCTCCAATACTCTCAGCACACGGGAGTTCTTTCTAAGCTTTCTTTGATTATTTTGTAAATTGATGTTTACTATGAAGAAATAGTGTATGTCACAAATAACCCTTCCTCCCCTGTCACTATATCTGAATATTTATATTTTTTTTATGATACTAGTACGATCCTCATTGCTTAGACTGATATTGTTGTTAATAATTTTATGGTTTTCAATATTACAAGTTTTAGCTTCAAGCAATCACGTAAAAATGAACTAAATTGAAGATGTTGATGACTACGATCATTAGTTCAGTTTATGAATAATATGGAACGCTTTAAATTGTCCCCAAGGTTATCAAATAAAGGTCACTTATATATCCAGAAAAATATTTTCTTTAATTGTAAACTAAATAGTAAAAAATTTTATTTATTATATAAAATAATTAATCCATTATAATAATATGAAAACAAGGGCAATTAATTTTCAGAAAGTGGATTTCATCCTTATCAATGTTAAGTGTGCTATTTTAGTTTTAATAATTCAATCGTTTTATCTTTTGAATAATACATTGCAATTTTCGCTTGATTGATGCATTCCTTTATATAAAAAGCTTTTACTTGGTGCTTTCAAAAGAAAGTGGCCTCTGTACATGTGTATGTGTATGTACGGTGCTTTGGCAGCTGTGATTTTACACCGGAGATAAATAATGAACACAGTTTGTGTATCACTAAATTTTGAGAAATAAAGCTAGGAAAATAGCTGTTAAGCTGTATATCTGTCTATCGTATTTGCTCTATTAGTAGTACATGTGTTTACGTAAATTTTAGAGATTTTCCTATTCAATAATTGTCGAAATAAGTCATATTTTAATTATTCAGTATGCAAAAATTGTGATGTTTGTTTTATTTGCACTTCTAATAGAACAATTACGGTATTAGAAATAAATGTGATTGACACGCACATGTACTCTGTTATTGAAGGTTTATTTAGTCATCATATTTCATAATCATGTAGAAAAATACTTTTCCATAACTTGTATACCTACATTGTATTTCAGGGTTCCTTGTGTATACCAAACTCAAACTAAAACGCCATCAATTCCAATGATGGTGGAACACCATTACTAATTTTGCAATGGAGGACTGTCTGCGTATTTATATCTGACTTTATCCATCCCAGTCTGCAATTAGTTACGTCACTCCACACCCTAAACATGATAATTTAGCGATCACATTGGCATTGTTGGTTTGTTGTATTACCAGTAATTACTTGTTTTGAATGATCATTGTTTATTTTCTCTTCAGAATGGGGTGAGTTCCTCCACTGTAAAGGAAAAAAATTCACCAATTTTGATGAAATTCGTATGGAGATTGAAGCGGAAACAGACAGATTAACCGGTAAAAATAAAGGCATATCACCGATCCCAATCAATCTTCGAGTTTATTCTCCACATGGTAAGTGTGCCCATGTTGTTTTACTCCACAAGCTTTGCTATGCGATGTATCTGGTGTACATAATGAAACATGTTGTGTGTGACTAATGTATCTAGCAAGAGTAACAATAATAGTATTTGAATGCATTTAAACATCTGGATTTGCAGTATTCAAATAGAAATATGTATGACTTTGTAGTGTTTTGAATTCTATTTCATTTGTTCATAAGAAACTATGTTTTCATCAAATTAGTGAACAAACACTTTTGAAATAGTAATTTGTGCAATATGTCCTCCACTAAAATGCAGTACACAAAATGGCAGCCGTGACTCACTATTATTATTTAAATTATTATCTTCCTAAATTTTTGCTTTCTAAAACTAGAAATTTGTAGACATTAGAATTTCTGGAAGCATGTGATTTCTATTGAATCAATCAGGCTTTATGTTTGAAATATGAATTTATCACGATAATACAGCAAAATATGTATGAAGGCAGTTTAGTGATAGTATTGACCAAGACATAGGAGGGAGGTATGTATGGGGGTCTAAAAACTAACTCTGCGACGCGATTGTGCGATTATTGCACTCTGCGACAGGATCGCAGTGTCACTCTGCGAAGAGCACGATTCACATTGGTTGGTTGGTCGAAAAGCGCAAATCTCAATGGTCGATCGATGTAAGGGTACACAGCATGCCTTATAGAAATGTTTAGTTTTAAATGGTTATTTCGCCGACTGCTCGCGAACTACAATAAACAAGTATTTTCCGACGACATGCCGCACGGTTCGATAATCAGCAAGTATTTAACATTGATTAATTAACATATAACATCCCCCAGAGGGGATGAAAGGGGTTACAAAACGCATGCACGTTGGTGTTGGCTGCCTTATTACGGTGTAACATCAGGGAGCTGGTAACATTAACGCCATCTTGAAGTTGTAAGGTCTTTCGCAACTACGCTCATTAGCATAGGCGGCAGCTTTTAAAGCGAGTAGAGCGCGAAGTACGTTTCACACGATGTTTTTTTCATCAGCAAGTATAATTTATTATGAGTGTATTCATCACTTTAAATTCTCAAATAAAGCGTGTAGCAGGTCAAACTGTTTCTAGGCAATCAATATCGTTTTATAAAGAATATTAAGAGAAAAAAAACATAAAGCTATTTGAATGGATTGAAACTACTGCTGAAGATAGAAAACTAAAACGACAGTGTCAACGGAAAATTAGATGGGTGCACGCTCTCTGCATAAACGGAAACGATGGCTTTGTTATTTGGCCGATGTCGAGGAGCAACAGATTTCCTGTACTCACTTTCCCGTCTGATCACCGACCCTCAATTGTAACTCAATAATAGAATATGTTGTATTTCTATATATATATATACACACTATATAGTCTTATCAAATGCAAACACATCCAGTCAATCAATTGTGGTCTTGTGGTTCAGTTGTCTACACAGTGATCAGGAGGATCGGGTTCAATTCCCATGCCTGCCAGTCTTTTTTCGCAAACACTGATTTGCAATAAAGCTAAATATGAAAACAAATCATTCATTTGCATGACTACCCATATGGTTCAGTGGGTATGTACAACGTAGGCAATGTGAGAGATCGCAGGTTTGAATCCAGTACGGTTAGTATGATTTAGTACGAAGTACGAACGCAGTTGACAGCTGCAGGTTACGTGCAACAACAGACACGAGGATCAATGCTGCTCTCCAAATGGGTCCCTTCTTTTGTATTGACCCCCCTAAAGATTGCTAATCCCCCTTTCTAACTCTTCCCCCCAAAATAATATATCGCCCCTTTTAGAATGTATTGATCCACAAATCAATGAATATTCATGACACAGAAACTGCTACGTCATGAATAAATTAGCATAATTAAAAAAAAAATTGCGTAAAGTGTAGGTACTCTTTCTGGAGTCCTGCCATAAATTCTAGTATGTGAATAAATTTCATAATAAAATTGATAAATTTATTGAGCAAGGATTAATAGATTATTAATTACCTTATTATTAATTAAGTGTTTAACAATGCTCTGGTGGCCATTTGGAATTAAAGTTGGATTCCTGCTTGTACATGTATATATAGGACCTCTCACTGACTTTTGTAAGCATCATTTGGATTTAGTACAGTTGTTGGAAAATGTTAGGAAATGTCTGTGTGGTGTTCTCCCCAGAGCATTATAGAGTAGGAGCTCTCTACTAAACAATAGTTTAGCATTAATGCATTCTATTGGTATGCAAATTATTGTAAAATCTGTATAAGAAGTTGGACACATTCTTTTTGAACAATTGAAAACCAAAAATTCACAATTTCTCATGTGTGTAGATGCTCTAATAGAAGCCACCTCACTTCTGTTGTATTGTATCATTTTAATACAAGCCACATTTTTTAATTCAGATTTTACAGTAGCTATGATGCTAAGCTAATTGTTTTTGGCAATTCTATCATAAGTATAAAAAAAATAGTGCAGTAACAGTGGTGGTCTAATATAGTGTAACAATGTTATATATTTGATTTTGTTCTCAGTGTTGAATCTGACCTTAATTGATCTTCCCGGTATGACTAAAGTACCGGTCGGTGACCAGCCTGCCGATATTGAACAGCAAATCCGATCGATGCTGATGGAATTTATCACAAAACCTAGTTGCTTAATTCTAGCAGTCACGCCAGGCAACTCTGACTTGGCAAACTCAGATGCTCTAAAAGTTGCCAAAGAGGTGGATCCGCAAGGTACCTGTGTTTTCTTTCCCAGTATTACAACTAATTATTATGTAGATTTATTTTTGAGTCAAAGTACATCCAAAACTCTACTGAAAACTCTTTCAATTTTGAGTAACTTGGCCACAAGTCAAATCTGAAAGTTATTCTGATTGAAAACTATGTATTGTACCTTTATTATTTGTCTTTACAAAATAAATCCTGTTTTGGGTGTGCTAAACACAAATAATCAGTAAGTATGTGAAATTTGAAGTTTGATTGGATGCAGTGGGTATAATAGTTGTCCCATAAATTCAATAGGGGGGGGGGGGCTTAATGGATATACAGGTAACAAGACTCAGACATAATTTCTATGAAATATGCTTCACAATGAATATTGATTTTTATCAGTCCATCTTCTGTCAACTTGATGACTCTGGGTTATGTTCAGCTATATGCAAGAAACTTCTGATGTTGATGTCTTACAAATACTGTTCAAAACTAGACTGAAATACAACTTGAAAGTGAAAAAATAATGATCAAGACATACAGTATAGACAATGTTTACAGAATTAACAATTGAATTATAGAAGTATTCATTACACAACATTTACAAAATGTTGGTGGGAAAATGTGTCTTGTTCAAAGGGTAAATGCAAGTTTGCACTTTCCACATTTTTTTAATAATACTGATTGGATCAAATTGAATAAAAGAGATGTCTAGAAAATGAGAATGATGGAAATGATAGGAAATACGTATTGCATGTTACAATTATTTTCGGTACATGCTTCATTTCATCCTGAAATTGTACATCTTTTTTTTTGCAGGCTTACGTACTATTGGGGTGATCACAAAATTAGATTTACTTGATGATGGTACAGATGCACGGGAAATATTAGAAAATAAACTTCTGCCTTTGAGAAGGGGTAAGTCATCCCACCATCATATGGCTGGTAATTACAGTCTTGTGTATTTTGTATTTGATGTGTTCGGTACACTTTACAACAATCTGACAAAATTCATATATCTTCAGGATATATTGGTGTTGTGAACAGAGGTCAGAAAGATATTGAAGGCCGAAAAGACATTAAATCTGCACTGGCATCCGAGAGGAAGTTCTTCCTCAGTCATCCATCCTATAGGCACATGGCTGATAGGTTAGGAACACCATATCTACAGAAAGCTTTGAATCAGGTTTGTTACAAAATGAACTTTGAACTCTGAATGATGAAACTTACATTGAATATTTGCACTTATTTTTACTATAAATGTATGTCCATTATCTTTGTCAGCAACTGACCAATCACATTAGAGACACGTTGCCGCAGCTACGCAGCAAACTCCAAGCACAGATGTTGTCGATGGAGAAAGAAGTTGCAGAGTTTAAAAATTTTCGTCCGGATGATCCATCACGTAAAACTAAAGCCATGCTGCAGTAAGTATCTACCTGTATATACATGTACATACCATTCCAGCATAAAGATATCCTATTATTGACTGATGCACTGGTATTTCAAAGGAAAACCTTTTTTTTTTTATGCAGTTGCGGCTATTTATTGCAATTTGAATGTGAAGGACTTGAAATAAAATTTTAATCTCACTGAAAATTATGTTACCTATGTATTTACTATTATAGTTACCAAGTTAACGGTCATTTTACTTGTACCAGGTTATAAGACAACCAATAGTGTCAACCCACTGATGTTGATGTCCCACAATGCCATGGTGCATTCTCCAGGGATTGATACGTTTTCTTTTAAATTTTAGCCAATCTTCATGTCTCTTCTAAAAATCCAGCGTGTGTTATGCATTTCCACTTCGTATGATCTGTAGAAAACATCTAACTGACCACTGTAAGCATCATAAGGGCTTTTGATTTCTGAAACGTCCAACTATTGTAAATGAGGTGTGAATAGGTAAACTACAAGACAATATATCCTGTTCACAGTTGTGAAAGATGCTAAATACTTCTTCCAGCCTCAATTTACCTTTCAAAAAATATTAATCGCAAGTTTAAAAAAAAAATTGTTTGCCCTTTTTTTGTCAAATCACTGCCAATTAACAGAGATCATTGTAAAACATCTGTAATGTATTATCGCGTTGCATTATGCAAATGCTATCATCAGCATTCAGAAAATTGTTTTGACCTCATTCTCAAACTTTTTTTTTTATTTGCAACATGTTAGAATGGTACAACAGTTTAGTCTTGACTTTGAGAAGCGTATTGAAGGTTCCGGTAACGAGATTGACACGCTGGAATTATCAGGCGGTGCAAAGATTAACCGAATATTCCATGAAAGGTTTCCATTTGAGCTAGTTAAGATGGAGTATGATGAGAAAGAACTCAGAAGAGAAATAAGCTATGCTATCAAGAATATCCATGGTGTTCGGTGAGTGGTAATAATGTGTGCTGCAAGTGCAACAGTTGGCATATTGCTAGTGTTTGGTGTATGCAATATATGGCACATGGGACCCATACTGAATATAGAGCAATGTGACAACCGTGTTACTGTAAATTCATGTGCAAGTCACTCATTTTTGTTCAGACATGAGCGATTGTACTGTGGTTAGATTCTCGTATCACCTAATGGAGTTTGTCGGTTTGATTCCCAGAGCCGATTCTCTAATTAGTAGTATAGTCTGTTGTACCTTCCAAACACGCTTCATTCGGGTTGGTGCACTTGCATTTTACATCAAGTTAAAACGTTCAGAAATGTTGCCTGGCACCCATAAATACTTCGGACACTTTACACACTGTTTCTGTGCATTGATCTTAGCATCTTATCAATCACGCTTGTTGTATTACAGAGTGGGTCTGTTCACTCCAGATATGGCTTTTGAGACTATTGTGAAGCGACAAATTGCCAGACTCAAAGAACCTGCACTGAAATGTGTTGACATGGTCGTTTCAGAATTGACGAACGTTGTGCGAAAGTGTGGGGAGAAGGTATGTAAACTAAATTTTTGCTGTTCTGTGACTCAACCCTTGACATTCCATGTTCTACTTTACTTTTAGAGAAACGGGAAGATACCTTCATCTTCCAAAACCAAAACCAAAACAGCAAATTTCATAAATAAACTTTGTAGGTTGCACAGCCTAGAATTAGCAAATATTTTTGTACTATGCCTCCTGTATCTGAGGATTACATAGTCTAGATTTGATTCTATGGAGGTATATTGTAAAGATGTGATTAGGGAATTTTGCCAAAAATACATCTAAGGTATGATAGCAATTTTTAGTAACAGACTACCTGCATTATGTGATGAAACCAGCTACTCTTACATCGGTGTGCCTGATTTACCCAGTGCATGTTATTTGTATTTTTAGATGGCCCGCTATCCAAGGCTGCGAGATGAAACAGAACGTATCGTGACAACGCACATCAGGGAAACAGAACAAAAGACAAAAGAACAGGTAGGGGAATAGAATTAGAGGATTATCCAGGAATGTCGCGATCTTTGTGGATTGGAAATCGATTCTTTGCATTTTGATCACTGATGGGACTACTCTCATATAAATGAGAGGTCAATAAACATGTAAAAAAATAAGACTGGAGTTTTTTCTAAAATCAAGGTCTCTATTGGAGAACTGCGACTATCCCAAAATACAGTTTTCAGCTTTTGTTTTTATCGTGATGGTTGCCAGGCGATGAAAATACCGGAATGTTCGATCTAAGAATATGCATGAGATAGTGTACAGATACTAATGGTGTACTTGTTATTACAGGTTTTAATGTTAGTTGATATCCAGTTAGCTTACATGAACACTAATCATGAAGACTTTATAGGCTTTGCTAAGTAAGTATAGTATTGCTATTCTTATCCACACACTTCCCTATATGCCTATACACACTTGCATCTTTGGTGCATCTATTTGACTCGCTGTACATTTAAAGCGTGCATTAAGACAACAGTTGCATAAGAAATACCCAGTACTACTTATTAATTTATGGGATAACTATTAAGTTAAACTTGAATCATTTTGTCTTTTATTTAAAAAAAATGGAACTTTTCTAAATCACTGTCCTAGTGTATTTATGCTTGAATTTTTCAAACAACTTTCTACAGACATTGACCCACTTTTAAACTGTGATTTAGTCTTATTAATCTAAATATAAATCCTGTGTTCCTATCCTGTTCTAAATTTCCGTAACTTAGCTTTTCAATAATTGTGTTCATTGCAGTGAGCAAAGATACATGAGTAAATTATTTGAAAAATAGTTTAGGATTCCAAGCCAGCAACTATGGCTACTGATTGAATTTTGCATTACCACCCCAACCATAACACTATGAATATGATATGATCATTATCCATGTGAAGGATATCAACTTCATTCACTGGTTCATTGCCATGCTAGTAATATAATATTTGCCCTGCACTATATTGTTCATTGATATTACATTTTTGTTATCATGTCAACTGTATTTCCATGCCTTGATATGTCTTGCCTTCATGTACTGTTTATGCTTTATTAGTAGCACATTTGCTTATATAAATGATTTGATGGTCAAAATAACTTGTATTGCAACATGCGATGTATTGAGATGCTTTTAATAAAACAACTACAGTACATGTTTCTCTGCATGTTTCAATGTTTGTTTGACACAGTCCTCTGTGTAATGTCCACCTTGCCAACAGATTCCTCTGACATTTCTGACTGTTAACATTCCAACTGCTTACTAGTGTAACTATCTCACTGTACATCAGAATCATTTCCACAATATCATTGTTAAACACATATCTTGTGTGTATTATTTCTTATATACAGTACAGTTCTCGCGAAAGCTTTGGCTTTTGTGACATCGTTGTCGCCTACGCATGGCTTCATTGTCGCCTCAGCATCGCATCATTGTGGCATCAGCTTCGCGTCATTGAAAATTGAAGCTGTGTTCGCCTCTCTTATTTTGTGGCATCATCGTGGCCTCAGCTACGCAGTCTCATGGCATCAACATGGCATCAACTTCAAAATATTGTGACATGAGTATGACCTCATTATTTTCACACAAAAAGGCAGTAGAGAAAAAAACATGTACAGAAGTTCGATATGTAATCGTTTTGAAATTCAAGGCGGTAAGGGGAATAAAATCACACGATACAATCGTCGTTCGGATACAACACAATTTGCTATATACGATATGAAACTGTTCTTGTTATAAAATTACCTTATTTTCGGTCATTTTATTTGCTGGTAAGAGAAGAGATTCAGATTCCTCATTTCATTGGTATTTTTCTGTGTTTCGATTAGTTTTAGCCGAGTCCGATCCCATGCCAGGACTACTGATACATGCAAAACACACGTATGCCCCCTGGTGCGTTGTCGCCAGTCATATTGATACAAAGTTTCAAAACAAGTGCGTACATTCCCAACTATGATTGGATGGTTGTGGTGGCATCGGTCTGGTAAAATTTGACATCCAATTTTCAAAATTAAGTCACGATCAGTGATTTATACCTACTTTAAATGTATTTTCATAAAAAATATTTTCGAATAAAAAGAGCCACATGCCCTGTAAAAAATCGAATAGCGCTTGACATGCAGAAATAATTTATTGGTCTTCAGAAAAAAACGCGTCCATTTAGTTGTAGCCGTTAATATTTGGTGACCAGTCGATGAACAATTTGAAAATCATGATTCACACGGAAGTTCTTCGATACTGAAAATCATCTACCCCTGTCTGGCTTACCTTATTTCCCAACTTGCAAATCTGATTTGTATCTCAGCCCAGTTTTTTTTCTTTTTTTTGAATTGAGGTCATATCCCGTCCATTTCTCAAAATATACTGATGTTTTTCAGTGAATAATTGTGAAGTCTGTCACATCACAAAACTATGTAAATTGACGCCAGAGATTGGATGGTACGACGACCCTTCAATTTGCGTCAAATATGCTTTGTTACAACATCATTGATTGGCTGAGAGTCACCTGATCGAAGCACGACCTGGGTCACAGAACCATATTTGTTCGTATTATCAACAGGACTTTGTGAGAGAACCACACCCACATTTTCAACCATTTTTAGCGCGGAAGTTGCCAACAAATGTCGAATAAAATAAAGCTAGCGATTGCTAAGACTGGTTAATAATATATCCCCGATGCTCTTTGATTTTTTTTTTTATTTCAAGATGAGAAATGGATCGTTGAAGTTCCATTGATTTTAAGGCGACTGTTTCACCGCGATAACTCTACACTCTGTTGTAGTTTTGTGAGGTAAAACAAATATATAATAAATAAATAGTACTTGTTTAATTTTTGGTTTTACATCCCGCAAATTACGGGACATGACCTGCATGAATTACAATAAATAAATGCTGATCGTGTTGAATGACGGATGTCAGGACCGTTTGGAGAAACCAACGGGGATCGATATTCTAAACAAAGTATTGGGACATGGTTGGTAGACATTTCAAACAAGTGAAATTATTAACGAAAGATTTTTCTAGATATTTATGAACATACTGTCATACCAAAAATATGTAAAATTGACAAATACACAAAGAGAATGTAACGGTAATATTAGGTTTTATTTTAGCTTTAGAAATATTTTCTTTCACTCAGTTCATGCGTGGGACTTCTATTTAGCTTCATGGTCCTTCGGCTTGTCTCTCCTTGGGGGAAAAACAATAATAATTATACAAATCGTAATTCAACACAATCAAGAAAAGAAACCCAGACAACCATGTCGTACTTCTGTTGAAATACATTTTGTTGCAGTGCGTCACGTCAGAATATTGTCTAAATAAAATATCCAATTCCAGCCAAATCTAGATCAAAGGGTCAGATTGCATGCATATAATTACAGATAGTTAAAACAAAAAGTATTTGAATTTTGACGACTGTTCAACATCTATGCACGGTTACTAAACTAGAACCGTGATCTATGAAAACCAGAAAATTTTTAGTAGTCCGAATTTTTGCACAGTCGAAAATAAAGTGAAAATTTGTCTGGTCAAATTCAACAAGCGGTCGCAAAATCGAGCGATTGAAAAGCGGAAGCGGGTGAGAGGTTGGGCAAAATGAGTACTGTACATGTACTTCTTTGTTTGATAAGCAATGCTGATGCCACATTGTCGCCATAATAAGGCCACAATGAAGCGAATCGATAACTGCCTAACTTTTTAATGTCGCGACAATGATGCAACGATGAAGCTATAACAATGCCACAATGATGCGATGCTGAAGCGAAGCTGATGCTGAAGTGAAACCAAAGCTTACGCGAGAACTGTACTGTAATACTTCAATTCTTGCTTACTTTTTCACCACCAGACTTTCTCACCCAAATTTGTCTGTCATTTTTTCTTATATTGTTCAATACCAGTATTTCTTGAAATGAACCCTGATTTTGGAGCCAACAGACAAAATTTTAGTCAATTTTCAGTTTTCATACAAAAAATTTGGCTATTTTTGTCCCTAACTTCTGAAAGAAAGTGCAGACGATAAACATGACTATTTTGTGAATGTGATGAAAATTGAGAACTGTTGGTGAAAAAGTTAATGTATCTTCAATCGTGTGTCTTATGTCATGCTTGTGTATTGCTACGTGTCGTATAAATGACTTTTAAGATTAGGATATATGTCCGTCTTGTATGTGATGAAGATTACGGTATAGCCACAAAATAAAAAAATAAATCCTGCGTTTCTAGAATTCCAATTGAAATTTTTGGAAGTGCCATTGATATTTACGAATTGTGTAATATATACGTTTTGCACTTTGGATGCGGTAATAATGTTGCTCACTACTTTTCACACAATTGAATATTTCCCAGTGTTCACTGCATTCTGTGTCGCTATTGGTTAGAACTAAGTTTGATAAGCTTGCACAAAATGGGATTGCTTTTAAATTCTCGCAAATTGCAAGAATTCGTTTCTGGTAAAAGCTTCATCACATATCACGGTACATGAAATTTATCTTGTTAATCCTTGGTTACGTACATGTTTAGTGTTTAAAATCAGCAACTATAACAAAGTCAAACAAAGACATCTAAGGGGTATAACATAAGATTGATATATTTTCGATAACCATGCAGAAAATGTGTACATTCTATACTTACAATGTATATATTGACTGAATATCTATGACTAAATTTTTCTCACCTACAAAAATATGTGTACTAGCATGTGATTTATCAAAGTCACAAATTATGTTTTTTGTAAGCAGATGTAGCATGAAAAGTGAAAATTTCAAAAATTGTGATTTCTGGTACAATCTTTGATGTTGTGAAATTTTGTTTTAAACTGATCATAATACATCTGTCCAGTTTAACAACCTGGTTTATATTTAGTCCCTGTTCGGACACAGTCCGAAAACGGGGACTTATGTTTCGACCTCCGTGTGTTCGTGCGTGCGTGGTCCAGACCTGTATCTTAGAAATGCCTAGACCAATCACAATCAAACTTCACACATACATCATACATGATATCATACGTATGCACATCAATTTGTTTCACGATCTGATTCAAGATTGCCGAATAGCGGCCATTTTTGTGCTAAAAATCATCAAAATCAAGCATTTCCCGGCTGTTTACAGATGGATTTTGTTCAAACCTTGTATATACGTTGGACATTATAGGACGTTGATGAACATCATTTTGTTTTACGATCTGATTCAAGATGGCCGAATGGCAGCCATTTTTGTGCTAAAAAATCATAAAAATTAAACATTTCTCGGCTGTTTACAGATGGATTTTGTTCAAACTTGATATATACTTTGAACATTATGGAACCTTGATGCAAATAATTTTGTTTTTCAGATAACATTTCATTGTTTTAATGAATGGGCTTCTAGACCCATATCTTCAACTTGTTTTCACTGATTATGTTCAAATTTTAAATATTCATCATATATCATGTCATAGATAGACAGATATATTGGTTTGTCGATCCTATTAAAAATGACCGAATGGTTGTAATTTTTGTGCTAAAAAATCATCAAATATGAAGCATTTCTGGCATTTATGAATGGATTTTCGTTCAAACTTGGTACATACATTAGACATTACGGGTTCCTGATGCACGTCATTATATTTTTCAGATCAGATTCAAAATGGCTGTCTGGTGGCCTTTTTGTTTTAATGAATGGGTTTCCAGACCCATATGTCTGACTTGTTTTGACTGATTTGTGTTCAAATTTTTTATATTCATTATACATCATGTCACAGATATACGGATATATTAGTTTGACAATCCTTTTCAAGGTGGTCTAATTTTATTTTTCAGATCAGATTCAAAATGGCTGACGGGCGGCCATTTTGTTTTAATGATTGGGCTTCTAGAGCCATATCTCTTAAATGCTTTGACTGATTATATTCAAATTTTATATTTTCGTTATACATCATGTTATATATATATACCGGTACATGTATTCAAAATGGCTGTTCCATAGCAATATCTCTCAATATGGACAAGTACTTGTTTGACGACCAGATACAGATGTCAATCATTTTAATGTTTAAAATATCATATTTCTGACATGGTTATATTCCAGCTATATTACTATAAACAAAACTATATATCTTAAATTTGATAACCAACAGCGACTGTGCCATGCATGGCTTGTTTATTATAATAATCCTGAAATTTCACATCTATGATAATTATATTATATCTTGTCAAATATTAAAATCACTGTATGGCATTACAACCTCAATCTGTATGCGTTGATATGCTTTGTATGCCTTAACTTTTTCACCACCAGTTCCTTCTTTTCATCAAA